CCCGTGCTTGAGCCCACAGGGCAGCCACACTGTCAGTCGGTTTCCATGAGGGCCTTCCTCTTCTTCGCTGCCCTTCCACTTGACCTAACATGATCGTGTCCTTCTCCAGGGACTGGTCTCTCCTGGCAACATGTGCAAACTCTGTAAGACAAAGTCTCGCACCCCTGTCTCCAAGGAGCGTACTCTGTCCTTTTTCCAACACAGATCGATTTGTCCTTTTAGCAGTCCATGGGACTTTCTTCTCCAGCACCACAGCTCCAACACATCGATTCTCCTTCAGTCGTCCTTAGTCAATGGTCAACTCTCAGATCCTTATGAGGCGATGGAAAATACCATGGCTTGGGTCAGGTGCATCTTAGTCCTCAAAGTAACATCCAGGCTCTTCAATATTTTAGAGAGGTCTTGTGCGGCAGATTTCCCCAAGGCAGCGCATCTTTTGATCTCTTGACTGCTGCTTCCATGAGCATTGATTGTGGATCCAAGAAAAACAAAATCCTTGGCAACGTCAACCTTTTCCCCATTGATTGTGATGCTACCTATTGGTCCAGGTGTAAGGATTTGGGTCTTCTCTACATTGAGTTGTAATCTATCCTGAAGGCTGCCATCCTTGATCTCCATCAGCAAGTGCTTCAAGTCCTCCTCCCTTTCAGCCCGCAAGGCTGTGTCATCTGCACGCCACAGGTTGTTAATAAGCTTCCTCCAGTCCACTATGGGTATTCGACTATGAGCATAGAAGAACATTTCCTTCCCCCCCAAACTGGGACAAGGACAAACACAGCCAGTGTTCGTGCTTCCGTGTCATCTGTGGTTGAGCTGGGCCCTGGCATGATGCTACCCATCCTACCCCCATGTTTCTAGGCTTCGCTCTTAACCAAACCCAAGCCAAACTCCCAGCCTTGGAGTTGATGCTGACTCATAGCCACCCTATTGGACAGCGTGGAGTTGCCCCCACCCCTGTGGGTTCCCAAGACTTTACAGCTTTTAGAGGGGTAGAAAAGCCTCATCTTTCTCCCACAGAGCGACTAGTGCTTTAGAACTGCTGATCTTGTGGTTAACCCACCAGGCCACCAGGATTCCTTGTGGCCCTTAGGAAACCGCCATCTCGGCCCTTTCTCTCAAGGAGCTGCTGGGTGGCTTCAAACCCCGAGCCTTGGTGAACAAACCCAAACCAGACTCCTGGCCATTGAGTCCACTTCGACTCACAGCGACTTCCACTCACAGTTTCCAGGACTGTGCACCTTTACAGGGGCAGACGTCTCCCCGCACCCCCCCCCCCCCCAAACTCTGACTATAGAGAAATGATATATTCACACAATGGATTATTATTCATCCTTAAGAAACAATGGTGAGGCTGACAAACACCTTAAGACATGAAGAGAATTAGAGAACATTGTTTAGAAAAGTTAATCAATCTTATAAAGAAAAATATTTTATGACACTACTATTATAAATGAAAATAAATAACAGGAAAGATGGTTTTCACCCCCAAAGATAGGACTTTAAAGACTATGAGGCAGCCAGGGTTGGTGGAGGGGAATGTGGGAGAGAGGGGAGGGACAGGACTGTGGTGGGAGAGAGGGCAGGAAAAGGAAAAAAACAACCAAAAAGAATGATCTAGGGGGATGTTTAATGGGTTATCGTGACTGATTTGGTGAGATGGGCTGGTAACCACATAGAATATATTTTTCCTTGTAAGTATTATATTCCGCATACAAATGGAAAAAATATAACTAAAAAGCGCGCGCGAGGAGTCCCAGCATCCCAGCCTTATCAACTTCCTGCAGGGTCTTCACGCATCCATTTATACATTGGTCTGAGTGGTTATCAAAGGGGAAAAGTAAAACAGAAATGGACTTGGGTACTTTTGTGATGTATACCATATACTCGAGTGTAAGCTGACCCGACTTACTGAGGCACCTAATTTTACCACAAAAACTGCATTAAAAATGTGCTGAAAAACTTGGCTTATATACGGGTCTATACGGTAAGTGCATTTCAAACAACCAAAAAGGAAAGAATATTACTGTGGTCAGTTCATGGACCCTTGATCCCTGGGTGTCAGGGGGCTCCAGCTTGGCTTCCACTTGTGATTTAAATACGAATCCACTTATACCTTTGCCCTCACTTGTATCATTTCAGCCTTAGAATGCTCCACATTCTCACCTCTTGGCCCCCATCTCTTCTTTTCTGTGTTCTCTATTTTGCAACTGGTCTGTAGCTTCTCATGCGCGAAGGAGACACTTGCTTTGTAAGGCCCATCTGTACTGGGCCCTTCAGCTCTCTGTCACTGACCGCGTTAGAAATGGGCGGCTTCCAGAAGTGTGCCACGTCGATGGCAAACCTAAGCCCTCGAGCTGCCATCCGTGCCTCCCAAGCACTCTGCCCTCACTCGTACTCTGCCCTTGACAGGCCGGCACATTTGCCCCTTAAGACAACAACCCATTGCAGTGAAGACTCATCATTCTTCTGTGACCTTTTGGAGAAACCTCTCGCCTACGTGTCTTTAAAAAGCAACAACCACTAGTTTTATTGGCATAGATTTCACATATCATACAAGTTAATAGTTCAGTCATATCAAGAAGAGTTGCGTAATCATCACCACAATCAATTTCAGGTCCACTTATATTTCTTGGTAGGGTTCTCTCCCCCTATTGAAACACCAGATATTCATTTTCCTAGCTTCTCCTGCATTACCGATATTTTCAAATCTGAGAGAATTGGATAACTCTGGCCCCTCTCCTCCACCTCACTGCCTATTATCTAGCCTCAACAATTAACCTCTGTCTCCCAAGACAGGTGTTAAGAAGGGATGGGACAAGGTGGTCTTTTGCATCATGGTCACTGGGTGACTGTGAGAGATGGAAAGACAAGTTACCTGCACAGCCTTCCCATTAATGTCTGTCCCCATGGACCCTGCTGTGAAGACAGCATTGGGCACCGTCTCCGTGCTGGTTTCAGATGTGTATATGTATGATTGGGGGATGTTCAGTTCTCGACTAGCCACCTGCAAGAAGCAAAAGATAAATCACATGATTTCATTCACCATAAGCCCCTAAACAGACTGTGTTGTAGTTACATACTCTGATGTCCATTTGAGAGGATTATGCGTGAAGGGGTGAAGCCTGGCCTGTCAATCAAGATATAACCAATGAAGCCTCCGTGTGGGTATGGCCTTTGCCTGAGAATTCTGGGAGCTCCTATATTTTCCTCATTGGAGGTGGGAGACACTTCTCTCTCTCCACTCACTCCTTTGGAGACGCTTTACTGACAAGACACATGGCACTAAGCCCTGGGAGCTGAAGAAGCCACATGAACCCACCCTGATGCAACCAGACCTCTGGAGCCAGAGAAGCCACACAGAGCCCCCTGCCAGCGCTGAGATGCTTACAATGCCACTGGATCCCAAAGACTTCCAACCCACTGGCCTTGATCTTCCTGCATTTAGCATCATTGCATGTGTTTTGTGAGTCTGAAGAGGACTTTGTAGATTGGTATCGGACATATGGGCTAATATCGGACTTATGGTCTGATCTGGACTGGACTGGGATATTTTCCCAATATTCACTTGCTCTTGCATATAAGCCTCTTTCTTATACACATATGAGTGTGTCTATGAATTTGCTTGAGAGCCGAGTATAAAAATCCACTATCTTCTTACTGGGGACTGGGATACAATCTTGCGTTCCATGTGGGAGATTCTATCCTTAGCCAGGGCACCTCATTTGCAGCTTCCACCTATCAGTAGAGGCTTGTGTGTTGGTAGGAAACTGAACAGGGTTCAGTGGACCCTCCAGACTAAGTTGAAAACTGCAAAAAGACCTGGTGATCAACTTTTCAACATCAGTCAATGAAAACCTGATCGATCACAATGATCTGATCCTGTTGTGAATGTGGTTGCCATGAGTTGGGGCAGATTTCCTGATAGTTGAGGAGCCCTGATGGCACAGTGCTTCTGAGTTGTGCTACTAACTTCAAGGTCAGCAGTTCAAAACCACCAACCCTCCTGGAGAGAAACATGAAGCTTTCTACTCCCATGAAGACTTACAGTCTCAGAAATTCACAGGGGGCACTTGTATGCTGTGAGTTGGCATTGACTCCATGGCACGAGTTTGGGATTTTGGTCCTCATAGTTAATAGCTGTCACATTTAAGATAGCATCTTTGGGTTGTGCATGTAAATGGATGCATTTGAACATTTAAATAGCATTGTAAAAGATGTACTCTCTCTTAGAGGCATGCTCTCTTGTATACATGCTTCTAGAAGCCATGCAGCAGGACGGCCCTTCTGTCTGAGGCAGCCTCAAGACCTTGGTCTTACTATTGCACCTTCATCTTCTCTCCATGGTGTAGGCCGTTTATCAGATTGTACTAAACTCACTGGCATAGTGGTTACACGTTGGGCTGCTAACTACAACATCAGTAGTTCAAAACCACCAGCCGCTACTCCCCAGGAGAAAGATGGAGTTTCCTACTTCTGTAAAGACTTTCAGTCTCACAGGGGTACTTCTAACCTATCCTATAGGGTCGCTATGAGTTGGGATCAACTCGATGGCAATTTTTTCTTTCTAGCAGATTATGCGGTGTGCTTGTCTGTCTGCGGTTTCCCTTGTGTGACATTTTGCGAGCATAACGGTTTTGTTGGAAAGTAAGCAAAATGTGTTCTGAAAGGGGCCTCTGGATGTTTGTGGTTTCCAACTACACCATTAAACACAATTCTTCTTTCTCACATAGTTTCCATTCAAATGCCACAGTCAACACATTTTTAATTTCATATTAAGATACTAAGAGGGAAACATTCCTATCGCTTGCTCTGCCAGCAGTTTGAAGATACCGCCTTGAATCAGCTCACATAATGGCAATGCCTAATGTAGATGGTGAATTCGCAGAACAGAATTTCCTATCCCATTAAGTGCACTCATTTCTTCTAATTGAGGATCTGGATGAATATCACATTGCTTGGAAACACTTTATCTTTGGAGAAGGGAGTCATATTTTACAGAAAACTTTTGGGGTGGATTCTTTTTCTTAATCTTGGTAAAATTATACATAACAAAACATTTGACAACCCTACTTTTCTGACTTGTATAGTTCAATGGCCTTAATTACCTTCATCGTGCTGTGCCACCATTACCACTATTCTTTTCCAGAGTATTCCACCATTCACAGAAACTCAGCAGTGACTACCCCGCCCCCCCAAGCTCTCCCTCCCACTCCCTGGAGCCATCCCCTGGAAGCAGTGTTGGGCCACCTGCATTTGCCTATTTCACATAAGTGGGACCACGCAGTGTCTGTCCTGTTGTGATAGGGTTGGTTCTTCTGCATGTGTGAGGAATAAGGCATTTTCTCAATTCTAACACCTCCCCTTTTTCACCCCCTTTGTTTTTGCACTTCTGAAATCAAGAGCATCTACTGTGATGGTCTTTCTCCTGCGTAATGAGGACAAAACAAAACTGTTAAGTGGATGGTTAGAGACTCTCTGCTTCTACAGTGGAGAAGACGGACACTTATCTCACCTGTATCATTTTGGTGTAAAGGCCTTGTCCCAGTTCACAGCCACCATGAATCACCAAGACAGAGCCATCTAGATAGATGTGGACCAGAGCAGCAGCCTGCCGGTTCGGGAGGAATAATTAGAATGTTAGTTTAGCAGCCAAATATTTTAGTGCGTTTAGAGAAATGGTTTTGTTTCATTGAGCCAGGCTCTCATTTTGTGTGCTGGAGAAGAAAGACCTTAGCTATAGCTATGGTAGAGAAGCCCGTGCTGTAAAGTCTAGGCTTGGCTTGGACCAAAGCAGATCTGCAAATGAGGGGCCATCTCCCCTCCCATCAGAGCTGGCTGCCTCCTGGAGTCTTGCTGTGGCTGCTTGGGCTGCTTCTCCAAAGACCCAAGGGCACAGCATGTCCGTGTCCTCCCCGACCTGAGAATTCTTGTTAAACCACGTGGAGCCTATCTAAGCCAATGTGCAGGCATAGTTACCCCTGGATACCAGCAGAGCTGAGGCCCCTTGAGGTATTTTAATGGTTGTTATGAGTCAGCACTGACTGCGTGCCACTGGGCTTGGCGTTCGGCTGTGGATTTAATTGTGTCCCCCGAGTGTTTCTTGTAAATCCCAAATCTTTAGTTACTGTAATCCCACTAGGGAACAGGACTTTCTTTGCTGTGCTAATGAAATCATATGGATGGCTAGCTGGATTAGGGGTAAAGCGGGGCTGTCTTCCTCAAATGCCTGCGTTAGGGGATGTCTGCTGGCAGGGCCACCAGAAAGGGGTTGCAGGGAAGGGAAGCACCATCAGACGCCTGGGGGGTGGAGGGGACACCTAGGCACCAGTGATGTGACATCACACCTGAACTCAGCCAATAAGGTTGGCCAGGACCCTCAACCACGCCCCCTCCAGGAATGGCGGGGAGAAGATTTCCTGCCTGGGTTCTGCCCGCTTGGCTTTGCGCTCCTATTCCAGCCTTCTTTTCAGGTGGGCTTTCAGGCCCCCCATAAAGTGGCCATCTTCAGCCGCAAACTCTTGCGTGGTCCCCCTGCGGCCTGCACACTTTTCCAGAGATACCGTGTCCCTTCAAGACCATCGTACCGGAAACTTCTCTTTCCCTCATAAAAGTTCCTTGGATTTACAAAAGTGCTACCACCGAGGAAATTCTTCCAGCGTTGAGAAGCAAGAACTGAGGTAAACTACCCCAGAAACCTAACAATAACCAGTGTAAATGCGTTTTCAGTCAATCACCTTCGAGATATAAAACAGAAGATTGCACACGGAGAAGAAAGCACACGTGGAGGGAAAGATGCCAGGGCTGCAAAAAGTTTGTGGAAACATCCCATGATCTTTTCTTTTCATTCCCCC